TACCAGTAACTTGTTGTCCATTTACTATAGGAATCTTTATCCAATGCATACTACCAAATGCATGCAGGTGAGAGACATCTTGCTGTTTGTTTGTCCACAACTCTGCAGGCATGCAGTCAGGATAGCAATGTGATGGTATCAGATTTCTGATATAAACTGATATGGTGGCTGCCTCTGCCTGGTACTTGTGAGGTAAGCCTGAATCTCATAGTAATACATGTGTATCCTGAATGGTAGTACAGATAGCTCATTCAGCTAGCCCATTCTCTGCAGATGAGTAGAGTGCAGTCAATTCCAGAATAATACTGTGCACTTTGTGGTAGTTGACCCACTTCAACTCTGCAAATGCATTATCAGCATGTAGTCTCTTGACTTGTTGACCTGTCTGATTCTCAGCCATACTCAGAAATCATCAAAAGCCTGAATTGTTGTCTCATCTGATTTATCAGTGGGAAATACTCCATGTTTGAAAGATGTGCCACTATCTACAATTAGCATAAAATAAGACTTTCTCTCATTGGATATCATCCAGCTTGGTCCTCACAGATCTATCACCATAAAGTCCAAAGGTTCCACATTCAGTTCAGTTGACTCATCAAAAGGTTGATGTGTATGCTTTGCTATGAGACAGTCCTTGCACTTCTCCTCAACCTCTCTGTCAGTGATTTTATTAGCAAGCCCATCTATCAGATTCTTTGAGGCTATTTTCTTGATTGTTTTAACACTTGCATGCATAAGATGGTGATGCTATTGGCACAGTGAGGTTGGGTCACTCCTTGATAATATTGTAAAGTGTTCAGCAGGTATATTCCCCTCATTGCCAATGCACTTCAAGATATACATTCTACTCTCACTATATCCAGTGAAGACTTCTGTACTATTTGCATCTCTGACAACTGCTTGTCCTTCTCTGAACATTGTGGAGAATCCAGCTGCATTAAGGGCACTGATAGAAATAAGATTTGCAGCCAGCAAGAGTGTGTATAATGCATTCTTGAATGTCAGCCTCATAAGTTTGTTCTCTCTAGTCTTGTGATGGAATAGTTTGCTAGCTGTTTCCACTCTCAGAATTGTGAATCTGCCCTCTAGCTGCTTTGCTGAGGAGCCAGTATAAAGTGGCTGTGCCAGATACTCTGTGAAACCCTTCTGATCCTTTATGAAGTGGTTGCTAGCTCCTGAGTCTATGAAGTGCAGTGATTTGGTCAGTTTCTATCCCTCAAATGTCATTGATACATATGCTTTGTCTGCCACAGGTGCATCACATATAAATTCCTCCATCTCAAAGAGACTAAGATCCAGGTCCAGAGCCTTGTCATCATCAATTTCCTCAAGATTTAAATTGATTGGTGAATAAATTATCTCAAATCCATCTGAGTTATCTGGATCACTATTGACATCTTCAAGGTGTAGCATCTCTTTATCACTCAGCTCATCTCTGGCCTGATAAATATACATGGTATTATCCCCTCCAGTGAATACTATAACATCTTCTTTGAGCAGCATCTCCTCCACTCTTATACCTCAGCTAGTCTCATCACTATTTATTGTTATATGTGCTATGAATGCAATATGAGGGATATGGGCTATCATCATGTTTGCTTGGGGTGTGTCAGGAGCTATCACCACTTGTATGCTGGATGTTGTGTTGTTTGCCTGATTATTCCATCTATTTCTTCTGAAATTGTCAGGGAACTGACTCTCTTTTCCTCTCTCAGGCCAATAACAATCCATAATGTTGTGAGTTGAACATTTACAGGCCTTGCAGTTTGGATTAGAGCACTATTTATCAGTAGCTGACTTTGTGTTCAGGGCAAGAGATGCATCTGTCTTATTGGAATACAAGGTAATATAGTGAGTCTACAAGAGTAATATAATCTCAACTGATGTCTTCCACTGTTACAGAGAAGGTATGATCAAGAGCCAGTTTACACTGTGAGAGAGAGAGTGTATGATGATTTCTTAGAAGTCTTTGTCAGTTAATTTCCATCCAGTTTCAGATAAATTATCAACAGCAGTATGCTTCATGTGGAGATCCTGAATGTGAGTATTCATATCAGCACTCACTGTATACTTCATGTTCTGAAGTATTCATTAGGCTTTAGATAGTGTCATATCATTTTGAACAGTATAGGTGTCTATTAGTAAGTTCTATATCTCCTTTGCTGTGCCTGTTGTCTTAACCCCTAATCCAATAGGGTTAGAGACATTGAGAATAATATGTAAGCATATGTGGGAGTCATGGAATTTCCATTTATCATATAATAGTGTAGATGAGTATAGTAGTATGAGATCTGATGGAAGCAGTGTGGTAGTCAGTGTTGTACCTGTAGTTGTCTGGACAGTAGGTGGGCATAGAATTGTTCCATCCACATATCTCTATAAGTCTTTACTACTGATAATTTCAGTGATCTTAACCTGCTAAGATGCAAGATTTTTCCTGTTGAACTGAGAGGCTTCAGAAAGCTGAGTAATAGAAGAGCTCATTGTCAACATAGTTAAGAGTTACAGTTATTTGTTATGATTTTTTTCTATTTTTTTCTATTTTTCTTTCTTAATTAACCCCTATTTATACTTAGTCAGAGCATCTAAACTAGTGCTTAAGACCATGGAACATGCTTAATCACTATAATAGATAGAGTTAGCCATTGTCCTTCAACAATGACAATGCCTCTCAACAACAGACAATACTCTTTTGTAGGTAGTAATGATGCTCCAAGGATAATGAGTATCATACCACAAAAACACACAATTAGCAGGTGTATATTTAGCCAGAACATGAACAGTATATAAGTAGTGTAGCTCTCACTGTATATTCTCAGCTTTGAGCTAAAGTTTATCTTCACTATTCTATCTCAAGCTGACTTGTAATTGGCCTTGAGACACAACACCATACAAACACATAAAGTGAACTTAGGCATGACTGTATGAACTTGATACAGTGCCTATTTATCATGTGTGTAGATCACATGTCACTTGGGCTTAACATTATTCATATAGATAGTTGTGGGTATTGAGTCACTCTTGTGGGTAAATTGTATTGTGTGTTCTCCTTGACTGGTTTTGTTAAGCCCAAGTCACATATAATAAGAACACATAATAAACTGATACTGTATCAAGTTTATACAGTCATATTAGCATTCACTATATGCATTCATGAAGTCATATGCTTTAAGGCCAAAGTCAGTCAGCTCAAGATGAAGTGGTGAAGAATAAACTTTAGCTCAAAGCTGGGGATATACAGCAAGAGCTACACTACTTATATACTGTCCATGTTTTAGCTAAATATATGCCTACTAATTGTGTATCTCTGTGCTGTGATACTTGTTGCTCTTGAAATGTCATTACTATCTATAAGAGTATTGTCTGTTGTCAAGGGGCATCATCATTGTTGAAGAACAATGGCCAACTCTGCCTATTATGGTGACTAAGCATGTTTTATGGTCTCAAATGCTAGTCTAGATGCTCTGACTAAGCATAAATAGGGGTTAATCAAAAAAGAAAACTAGAAAAAAATAGGAAAAATTGTAACAGGTTTAGAGACCAGGGCAAAGCCATATAACCTAATGTAAGATGAACAATGTAATCAGAACTAAGAAGCAAGTAAGTAAAGTATGCAAGATATATAAGCCAGATAACACATACCTCAGTTGGCATAGTACAGCTGAAATGACTGAGGTTGTGGAAGTAACTACATGGTATATATACTGTCAGTATGAACTTTAAAGGTATAGAAAAACAAAAGAGTCTATAACAGATGGCATATAATATAGTCAGAACTGCATCAAATATTACATGTCTCATTCAACAACATCTGGTTTTCATGTCTACTTATAACTGTTCTATTTACATACACAAAGTTTAGTACAATTATACTCTTTATTCTGTTACTGTAAATGCCCTCAAATCATATGTAGACTACTACTAGCCTAGGCCAGCCATTTTCACTTAGAATGTACTCATGAACCTGACTATAAACCATCTCTTCATGAAGCAGGAAAATGACTAATAATAAATGATAATCTTCACTTCAAGTGGGAAACAAGCATATCATTATCCAGCCATTCTAGGGCTGAATGTTGATGGATGTTCACCAAGTCAGAGTTCAGAGTCAAACCACTGAGAATCAGCAAAAATGAAAATTGGAATATGCAGAGAGAACAGACAATACCAGACAATGAATTCCTCACAGTCCACCTTGATGGTGGTCCATAATACCCCTAGAATCTCTTCATAATTTCACCAAAGCCCCCAAAAAATATCAAGGAAAAAGGCTGAGGCACAGAGGAGGCTGAATAAATCAGAATAAGTTGATGATGAAGATACTATGAAAGAGGGGGATAGGTGTACAGACAAATCATGGCCGATAGATACTCTGAACGAAGAGGTAAAACGAGGTAAAACGTCAGCAGTGGTGCATCATTTATCATGTCCGGTCCGAAGAATCTGATCCAAATGGACGAACAACGTCGGAAATTGCCGGACACGTTGCCTTTCCTATGACGTTCTACGAATCAATCCAGCTTCCCCCCTCAGTTTCTGTGCACAGGACGAGTCCCGTCACCCAAAAACTTGAAGAAAAAAATTGTCGTCGTCTGCAATAAATCCAAGGGGACGTATTACGAAGGAGACGAAATATAACATTATGCTCCGACCACGTACAGATCAGCCGGCTTATTATTTCTCCGAAGCTTCTTACTGAATAATTGATGGTTTGCTTCTCGCACGAAGAACACTATAATTGCCAAGTCCTAGAGTCCAATGATAACCCGATAGGGGCCGCACGGGAAGGTGGCAGTCGCTGGGGATAAACGGTCAACTGGGCGGTCAAGAATAGTCGACGTTCGATATTCAAGCTAGGATATAAGATTGAAGCCTCGAGGCTTATTCATTGGATTTCTTACATTTCGTGGTATTATTAGGCTTCTGGTACGATATACCGCCAATATTCTCGAGAAACCTATTCCTGGCCAGGCTGGCAAAGCAACGACCTCCGCCCCCAACTTTCCTGGTAATGCGTTCAGGCGAACGGTGCGGAGCTAATTTTACTATGGTATGCTTTTCTGCTATAAATGGCCAAGTAGAGATGGTTGGGAGGCCCGCGATCCTCTCAACGCCGACATCGACGGGACTAACCATTGATGTATAGAACGCCAATTTCTTCGTTCTAGCTCAATGTTCTCCATGTTAAATCCGAAGCTCGTTTCGTTCCCTCGTCTGCGGACGTCCGGCAATCACGCTTCAGGATTCTCATGTCATGAATCCGAGTTCCATCCGACTATTCTGAATGCCAGCACGTCTAGCGTACTCAGGTTGCCGCATTCTCGCTGGCGTCAGATAAAAAACTAACCCGCTCTTCATAGTACGACGCCAAGTACAGATATCCCGATTCTAAGTCAGTTATTTTTGTCTGCCGGACCCATACTTCGTTCATGTAATTAACACTCGGCATCTGTATCACTTACAGGTTGCACGCAATCGCATGACGAAAGTTCTAAGGAGTTAGTTCTATCTATAAGTACGTAAACAGATGTGACTTGAACGATGCTGATGTTCAGTCCTTAGATGTCACATTATTGAGCAGGCCGGCACTCTAACATACCAGAACGCTAGGATTCAATGTATCCAAACCCTCGTGTGCCCCACATCATATAATCGTTGCGTCGTACCATCTCGGGACCCCCCCAGTGTGCCATTACGAGGTACTTATCCTCAACGTCTTCGCACAGTTGTCTCGGTAGCTTATCTGAAAAGTGTCCATGGGACGTTTCTACACAATATACTTTCATAGGCGCGACCTACGCGCTGGGTCCCGACCCATCTGGCCGTGTTCGTCCTACATCAGCTGCGCCGACACTACGATCCGACCCCCGGCATCCACTTTGACTAACCATCGTTTTGTGTCCTTTTAGCCGTGATAATATATTGCTCTCATTATACGAAGATGATGGCACACGTTTTCGGTCTTCCTTTACTTCTGCAACAACCTTGTTTCGTGGAATGTTGGCGCGCGAATGCACAAACCAGGCTGATCTCTGTTTAGTCCACAGTTTGCCAGCTGTCCTATCGAAATCAAGATGAGTCACAGCGCACCCGTTCTTTGCATTCTCACGTCGCCGTGCCAACTTATACTTCTCAAGATCTATGAACGATGACCTCCGAAACACTTCCTAAGGTATGCTTAGCCGTCTCGCAGCATCGTTCTAGGCTGATGAGCGTGTTACCAGGTACGTTCTTCACGAAGAGGAGTACCGTTAGCCGGCTGGAGGATATGCCCCATTCCACGAACGTTGACGTTCCGAGCATAAGAGCCAGGCATCTAAACCATCATTTTTCCGGTCCCGTTCTGCTACGATATTGACGCTACCGAAGGTTGCGGCCTCCTGGTCAGCAGATGCTCCCGACGCTGTAAACTGTGACACCCTGCGTTGTACGTGCCTTTCTATTACAATATGCGATGCCGTTAATTAGGAGTGACATTTTCATCCACTAGGTACGGCTGGCAACCATCTTGCCTCTTGTTGAGACGTGTACATGTGCACCGGCCGGTTTTCGTCTGTTCGTCTCGTCTTTTTGTACTTACAACTAATGACCTTGACGTCTAGGGCTTGGACTAGTGAACTTGTCATTTAGGTTCATCTCGTTTCTTTACTCTCCTCCCTTCGTGGAACTGACAGCCTTGACATCCATTGAAATCTCCTGCTACCAGTCAGCATGGGCAATACAATGTCTGACCGTGGACGAGTTTCATACGCGATATCTGATACGATGAACGCACTTTCCAAGTCGGTTTTGGCGTCCCTAAACTGCCACGCTTTATCGCGGTCCTCGAGCTCGGGTCACCATTGGCCTTGGCCATGTATACTTTTGTTAAAAGAAATGGCTAGGTTGTATTGCTGGTCGCCAATGCATGTCATATCTTTCGATATCCAAGGAAGTCGAAATGGATATGTAGTCGACGACTGCGGAATATTTGCTATAGGTAATTGTACTTGCAGCCTGTTCTCCATGCTCGACTTGGGGTATATACTCCTCGTTTGAAGGGCAAGCGTATCCTAGCCTTACCAATGCCTCAGTTTCTTCCCTTGAGTCTATAGCCGACAGGAAAAGACCATTAGGTCATTAGTGGCGGGACCATGCATAATCTAGACACGAAATATCAGTAGCACATTGTCTTCTCCGTGCGGGGGTCGACATAGACACAAGACTCATTGTTCCCGACAGCACCAATAGTTGTATACCTGATGGGATGCTCCATAGCAACACTGACATCGGTTTGCCCCGGATCCTCTCATCTGACATTTGAACAGAAAAAAGTAACACTCAACGATGAACATGAGGCATCGGCCGGCAACCCCGAGGTCAGAACGTAGATATTTTCGCGGCACTGTGTACTTTCAGGTGATAAATTACGCCGGAGGCCCCGGGGGGGGGTTGAAAATTAAGGAAGGAGGAAGAACGGTCCAAAACTACAGATGATATCACTTAATCAGGGGAAAAAGAGCTTGGTGAAACAAAGGAACGTCCCGATATGTATAAGCAAGAATGGACTAAACTCAATGTAGGGCTATAAAGATGAACCTAAACAGCAATCCACCAGCAGTCAAAGCATTTGTCTGCACTAACAACTAAGAAATACATAAAGGAGTGTAAGAGAAAGAGAAGAAGTCAAAATGCCTAGGCAATGACACTGAGATGCACATTGGGGAACCCATTTGCCTTGATACGCTTGAGGAGCCACCAGAATGGTGTGGCATAAGTTATATCAGGGGACTTTGCCTTACCAGAACCACCAGTAAGCATGCCACCAATACGGCCACGGATGTCAGCAATTATTGAGCCTGAATCACCAGGTTCTGAAAAGACTTCTGACTTGCTGTCATAGTTGATTATTGCCCACTCCATGGAGGTTTGGTTGATGGACATGTCTTGGAAGTAGTCACGAATGATAGAGAAGATGCCATTTGCACGGCCGATGGTGGTGTTAGTGGCACTGCCACTCTTGATGACCAACAAGCATGGATCACCATTTGAGTTCCACATGTCAGGGGCATGCATCAAGTCATCGGTAATGATACCCATAAGTGGAAGCAGATGATCATTGGGATATTTAAACTTCCAGTTGAGATCTCCATGGGGGAAACATTTGAGTGTGAACTCATCAGGTGTTAGCTTTGTTCCTAGATATAAATAACATTTAGGTTAGTAGATGGTCTTAGTCAGATAGTCAAAACACACCAAGATCCATCTTATTGCCCTGGAAGCCATCACCAAGCTTGACTTGATTGATCTGAAAAATTCCCCAGTCCTCTGTGAAATGTTGCTCACCAACACCAAGACTGATAGCTGGGGAGCAGAGAATGTGGCCAAAGATGCAGTGCTTGAGTCTCTTCCAGTCCTTGTTGACCTGATTCAGCAACACTTCAAGTGCCTTCACTGCCTCCTCTTCCTCCTCCAGCAACCTCTGAGTCTTAATCTGGGCTACCTTGGCATTCTCAATGTCAACAGCATTGGTGCCCTTCTCTCTCTCCTTGAACTGTTCAATCTGTCTCTTTCTGTACTCAGTCATGATGCCATGTCTTGTGATTCCAAGTTTGATTGAATTGATGAGATTAGTTAATGCTCTGTTGCCAAACAGGATGACATCTTTACGAGGCCTGCTGAGGTGGTAAACATAGTCAACATTGGCTTCCTTGGATTCAATGAGAACATGACGGCATGAAAGGCCCAAGAGGTTATCACTGCTGCCACCCTCAGCAAGATAGAGGGCCATTGTTCCCTGAGTGTCAGGCCTGGCCTTGGTAGAGATATGGAGGCCAAGAGTGGGAGTGAGAGGACTAATGACATCAACAAGTGGGTCCAGATCACTGACAGGTTTGAGAAGCTGAGGATTAGCCTCACGTGTGTAGAAAGACTCACGGAAGTCGACATCGACATCAGTGATCTGGTAGTCCTTGAGAAGGGCTAGGATATCTTGAGCTGCATTGTGGGCAGCTGTGGCAGAGGTAGACTCAGGGAAGACACCAATCCAAATAGTGACAGGACCAATAGGTGGTTTCTTAGCCTCTGCTATTTCTTTATTGGCATCTTCTTCATCAGTGCCTTCTTTATCCTCATGTGGTTCATTCATCTTGACCATCTTGAAACAAACAACATCTATTGTTGTAAAATAGATCTAGAAATCCTAGTTAGCAAATTCTACAATGTGATAGATACCTATTAACTGACTGTGTGAGCATCTAAAATCTTAACAACTCTCCAACCTAAGTCATGGTTCCAGACTGTCCTAATTGGATGGTTGAAGACTTCACACAGCTCCTTCAAATGACACTGGGCCTCAAGTCCTCTGGATGGAGACCACTTCTTGCCTGTGCGGTAAAGCAATGTGGGCTCAGAATGAAGGCCTGCATAGTAGAATTGAGCCTCTGCATCAGAGACAGCATGTGCATCAGAAGTGTAGGAAGTAGTGCTGGACATGGCATTGCTGCCAATGCCTAGAGAGGAGAAGGCTGTTGCAATGGTGGTTGAGAAGATAGTAGAGTCCCTATCAACAGAGCTCTGAGCCTCCTCATACTTCTTAGCAAGGCAAATGTAATCCTCAACAACTTCAGCAGAAAGCACTGAATGAAGAGAGGGGAAACAAGATGGTTAGTATGGGATAATCATAAAGAAACTAAGAGACAGACTGATGTATGATTTGAAAGATCAAAAAGGAAGTGAGCAACTTGACTGTGTGGTGTGGAGAGATGTTCGGCGAGAGACTCAAGAGAAGCCCCAGAGCTCCATTATATATCCATTGCTGTCTGAGACTTGTCTCAAATTCGCCCTCCGTGACGATGATGTAAGCTCCTCAAAATGGAAACTGTCTCGCGACCCCCGAATCTCCTGGTGTCTTTTCCGCACTATACAGCATTGCTTTTGGACCCAGCCAAGCAGGCTGTCTATTGGAGGCTGCCTAGTAGTGTGTATGAGCCTTCCGGTATTGAGCATTGATGGTCGGCGATGATTTCGAATTATGCTTTTTTCCTGGTGTTGTCTTTAATGACCAACTCATCCTGTCGATGCCTTCCTTCCTGCAGAATGACTTTTTCTTCCTGTTCCCGTCCCCTGACTCAGGGAACAGGAAGAAAAAGTCATTCCGATACTACTCCAGCAAGACCCCCACCAGCATGCATCCTCAAGGGACTGCATCTCATAGTACACCGGCATCTCCCCTAACATCAGAAGGTATGCCAACCCCACAACTTTATCCACAGGATTCATTGACACCCGCTTCTGCATCTCTGACAGCAGGTGAAACAAACTACGGGAAAAGGCTGCTTTGATGCTCTGCAATACTGACAGTTTCTTCTCGATCTTTGCTCGTATCTCCTCTTCCGCAGTCACAACCAAAGGATGGCCCAGCTCGCTCAAGTAGCACATGACCTCACTGGCGCTTTGTGTATACAGATCCAATAGTCGGTACACCCATCTTCCATTCCTCTGTGCGGAGATCTTCCGTCTGCCCACCCACCTGTCGCAAACAGAGAATGTCAAGCCCACGCGTACTCCACACCTAGATTGATATGCGGATGAGGTCGAGGTTGGTGTCCTTTGGTGGGACGAGCACGGGCCAATCGTATCCGTTGATAGGCATCAGCACATCTACATGATTCTTCTTTTCCATCTGCGCGTGGGATATGGACTGGGGTTGACATTGATGTGCGACCCACCACGGCACCACACGCGGTTGCTATACAGATCCCAGATACGTCGAGGACTCGGAGGCACTTTACGGCTGACGATCCTGTTGTTGACAAATACATCTCGCTGCATCTCCTTGTCCTGAGTGCGTAGTTTGATGGTCAAGTCACCATGCGGGCGGAGAGGGCCGTGGGTGATGGAGGTTTGAAAGAGAGAGGATAGGGAGGGGGTTTCTAGGGTGTATGGTGTTCCGAGCGTGGAGTTGGGCTTCGATAAGACTCTGTCGCTACAGGGGTGAGGAAGGACGGTATGATGGGTTTTCTACCGGTGTAGGACCGTTGCTTCTGTATTGGAATGCACGGTTCTGCTTGTCTGGAGGCAGAGGGGGAGGCTCCTGTACTTTAGATCTGCCACCGGCTTTATGAGCAAAATGTTATTGATTTCCTATCTTTCCGTGATTTTACATGTGAACCCACATATCCCACTGCATGTTATCCCGTACATAGTGTTGGTACCATTCATTCCCATTCATTTTCAGAGTTTTCCTCGTCGTAATACTTGGAATGAGGACAAGGCAAAGAAATGACGTCTGCTTACGATTGCACTTGCTCGAGTAAATCGGAGTCGAGTTGGTGGTGTCAAAGCTGTAGTTGCACCAGGGCTGTACCCAGAAGATTGGAGGGGGAGGTTTGTCCTTGTGGTAGAAAGCAAAAATAATAGACGCTGGACCGGGCCGGCTCCATCGAAGCGCGATGCTCTTCAGATCATCCTCAACGCTTTTGAGAGGTGTATGATTAGGTTTAGTCAAAAGTCTATACTGATATGCCACAGCTATAATACGACTTCTTTATTGTAGTGTCTTCGTGCGGCATCTTCAAGGTACAGATAGACTTGTATTACGCACATAAAAAACATGCAACTATTACGAATGACGAGTTCCAACGAAGGTTGGCTGAAGACCATCGAGTTCGGCTGGTAACTTCATTCCTTTCGGATATCGATACATTGGATAGACAAGGTTCGCAGCACCGACCACGGTGGCGAAGGGAATGATCAACTGTCCTTCAGTATGCATGACACCCCTGCATAAAACAAGTGAGCAAAAAAAAAAGGGGTTATAAAAGCGGGGGGAGTTACTTTAAGTGTAGTCCGCCAAAGCGGTATAAGAAGCGTCCCAGTGCTAGTCGCCTTTCTTCTGGCAGGTCTTTGGTGAAGGGAAAAGCTATTATTCGCCGTGCCCCAACGCCGAGGGCGGTGAGTACACCAGGAGCGACAGTCCGATCTGAGGTTTGCAAAGACATGGTGCATTTTTCCTGCGCCAAGGGCTCGCATATGCTGATGAATTGTCGAGCCAATGTCGATGTTGCGAAATAAACCAGTATTTGCTAGAGCTTGTTAGATAACAGAAGAGAGATCCATCGATGGGGGGGGGACTGACTTTTTGGTTGACGAAACGGGCCGTGATGAATGACGCTGGTGCAATTTCGTTGTAATTGTCGGTCCAGTCAATGCACATTTGGAGGGTCTGCGGGTCCGCAATGCCTTCGATCTTTACGAGGCGTTCTTGGTTGGGCTGCGTATCGTCCTTCGAGTACCACTCTGGATAACTGAGGTGCTCGGCTTCGATATACCTCGGCGCGGTTCCAGCCTTGGCAAATTCAATCCGCGCCTTGTCAAATGAAGAATTTCAGCGCACAAGAATGCGTTATGTTTCAAAGGGAAGGGTACCTTGTCCGCCTGGTGTACATCCAAAAACTGAACTTCGGTGAGACCCCCTTCGGATCTGTCAAGGCCCGAAGAGACTCCTCCGCACGAGGAGAGGATCTCGTTGAATTGAGATTCGGTGAAGCTCTCTGGGAGTTTGAGCAGCCGTAGCGTGCGCGAGGCGTTGTATTTCGCGAGCAAGGCGACAGTCTGGGTGTCTAGTGCCGGTGAAGTCGAATCGTCGATTTTTAATGACAGCTCTTTGTTAGCCTCGACGCAGCACCTGGCAGTTCCTTCATCAAAGAACCGGACGAGGAGATGATCTTTCGCGGGTATTATCGCCTCTGCCGGGTTGGCTTTTACAGTGTCGACAATGTCGCTGACATTGTATCCTTCCGGGAGATTTTCGACACGGACTGTACGACGGAGAGATGGAGACTCGGCCGCTGCAGTAGCGTAAGAGGCATAGGGGGTGTGGGGTCTCCGCAGACGGCGAAGGGAAAAACTAAGCCGAAGCATGTTCATGGCAATTGCACAAAAAAAAATTCCCGCGTTTTCCCACAGACGCGCTTCGGGTCCCGGGCCGAGAAATTCAACTAGAATGACGGTCCGGAGCTCTGATAGAAAAAAAAAAAGCTAGCCCCCCTGCAGGAGCACTCAGTATGGCATTCTAATGTAAATAGATGAAATAAATGCATACGTTATGATACAGACTACTCTGTGTCTTCCGATTCGGACTTTCCCTTTACGCAACTGGGAGGCGCAAAGGAGGAGGCGGCGCCACGAAGCCTATGACAGACAACAACAAATACCCCTTCCACGTGATATCGAATCTTAGGCATGCCGAATTTCAAATGTATGGCTAGCACAGAAATGGTCGATTTCTCCACCATCTCCAATTTCCCCACATACGCTCTCCTGCTCGCAATCCCTATCGCATTTATCGGCCATCGTTTTCTCTTTCCAACTGCGTCGCCGCCTCCACCGCCGCCCACTCAAGCTGAAGAAGAGCCACTAAAAACAATAATGCAGCCCCCAAAAGACGATCTAGCGCCTCCCAAAGACGACCCTTACACCCTGGAGGAGCTGCGCCAGTATGATGGCTCGGATCCGTCCAAGCCAATCTATGTCTCCATCAAAGGTGAGAGAGCCTAGGCGATTCTCGAGATTCCATTGGTGGGGGGGTGGTGCTTATCGTCATCCCCCAGGAACGGTATTCGATGTCACGAGGAAGGGCGACGTGTACGGGCCCGGAAAGTCATACAGCGTGTTTGCCGGAAAAGATGGATCGAGGGGGCTGGGCATGTCGAGTCTGAAGGTGGAGGATGCGGTGCCGGATTATAGCGTGCTGGATGCGAAGGATATGAAGGTTCTCGATGATTGGCATGCATTCTTTCTGTGAGTAGCTTGCTTTATTGCGGTGTGGGTGCTGAGCTGGTGGCTAGGAAACGGTACCCTGTCGTAGGCCGTGTCAAAGACCATCCCATAGCAAATCTTTGAATGTTTCAATGTTGTAACATGTATTTTTTTTTCTAAGTTATTAAGATAACTCGGTAGATGCCATGGTCGCAGCAGAGTAAAAGGTCCCAAGTTACAAAATCTCGGCCCGACGCTACAGAGGATCCGCTTATCTGGGTGAGCAGAGAAATCTTTGCAGGATGTTGCCTCAAGGCCCGATGAGTAACCGTGCCCCTCGTCAATTTCACCAACGCAAATTCAGTGGTATACCAAGAGCATCGTGCTTTAGGACGTATCTCAAGGTACGCGAAACCATCTTTGTGTGTGATTCTGGATGTTCGCTAACGCCCGAGTCAGACGAGTTGCGCAACTGTCACCGATTCCCGAATGCACACCGTACAAGTTTCGTGGGTCCGCGGTCGGATGAAAGTGGGTCAGCACTTGGGTGTCAGTTACCAGCAATGATCCGGCGACTTTCTGCTGTGCTGGATTTCTCGAAAGCTTGACAGATTAGCGTAGAGCACCCAGACCTTGTGTATCCGACCGACTATGTGGCCGATGGAAGGCTCTGCGTGTTATCGGATGATACTCAAGAGAGTCGCAAACAAGGTACGCGGAGGGGGGGTCGGTGTGCGTAACCCTGACCGGAAGACAGTAAGTAGGTACGTCTCCGCATTCCCTACACGGGGAGACCGATCTTCTTCCCGGACGATTGTCGATGGTACCTCGCGTTTCCCTTCCCTGACAAACGGCGGGAACTCGGCGCGAAATATGTCCGAGTCCCTGCATTTGTCAGCGTTGCTTGGTCGTCGTTATGCTGCGCTACTTTCAATCCAAGGTGGCGATGCGAAACGAACGTCAGCGGGGACAGTATAGCCCGATTTTGCTGATCGTCATTAGCAACTATTCAAAGGTGATCCATTCATTGGTTTTTTCAAACCAATGCTCAATCATGATGATGCCCATACAGCGCTAGCAACGGCGGTTTATTTCCCTGATTTTATTTTGGCCTCTACCGATCAACACGAGAGCTGCGCCACACAACGAACGCCTTGATTTTCGGGCAACGATGTCCATCGTCCTGCTCAGTGTCCTTGGAAGCTACAGCCGACAATGTTCATAGAGAGGCTATTGCTGTACTGCGCGGCAGCGCCATTGTACATGCCGTGGGACTTTGTCATTGTTCTTATCATGTGGGTGTCTGTCTATAGGACGAGCGGGACCGCCCACGGCAGGCAAGTTTTTACCTCATACGATCGACGTGACGGGCCCACAAAACTGGCCCTGAAGAGGTTTCCTGCGAAGAACGAGGGTCAGATTCCCAGTTGATTATCAAGTCGAGCTTCTGATTGATGAAAATGTACAGGTGTATTCTTTACTGGAAACACGAAGACGTATTCACGAGGACTAGCCCAACAGGTTGTGATGTCGAGACTGTCTTCCCCAATTCTTTTCATTCTGTTGTTTGATTGAGTTTGCACGTTTTTGAGTTCTTTGAACAGCCTGCAATATATCCGAGGACTAACACCTTCGACTCGAAGCCCTCATGATGTTCTGACTGCAACGCAGAGTCATTTACAGGTTCCAACCTACCTTGACCCCCGGTGTCCGAGCCGTAGTCGGAAGCTTCCGAATGAGCTCACGGTTAAAGGCGATATTGAACCGACATCATATCAGGCTGTGTGTAAAAAGTTGGATTCGAGATGAGACTGTCCTGGGAAATGGGATTATTCTTAGCCCCATCGTACGTCTTTTTTACCTCTGTCTGTCACTGCAAGAGCGCAAACGTGCTGTGAAAAAAGAGATGTACCTTTATTAGGGCACACACTTGTCATGTGAACCGGTTCATCGATGCCACGATGCATCCCACCGACCAACTGGTCGCCAAAAACACACCATCAGGCTCGTCCCCGTTATCTGTTTCCACGATCGAAGGTCTGCACGCCCCTCACCTCGGCGGATCACTCCTGCTTTTTTAGGCCTAGCGTTAATTCCTCGTCAAATTCGCCGGGTATCGCGTCTGGCGCGTCGTGGGTATATATGTAATGGGAAATCCACCCTACCACACCACAGCCATCTTTTCCTCATTCCACTATTTTCTTTCGCCTGTTCTCTTTTCATTCATCATGACGCTCTATGGGATGCCGATATTCCTCGAAGACAAGAGCGGGAGACTCACTGGGTCCGAGTTTATCGATATCCATGATCGCATGCGGTTCAGCTATCGGTGCACCGCCCGGGACTCTGCCCATACGGCGTATATGATCTATAACCTCAGCGCGATGGTGTATCAGGGCTCGTGTCCGCGGGCGGTGGTCGCGTTGGACTTTGGCCCGAATAACGCGTTGGGGACGGTCAGCTTTTCGTCGAGGGAGAGCGTACCGATGAAGAAGTACCTCCCGAAGATCTCGAATCATGGAGGGTATGTTCATTTTGTTTTTCTCCCATGGTTGTGACGCGTCTCCTGATTTTACTGTTCGTTAGCGCATACAAGCCGCGCAAGTTCGTTGCGTCCGATTCGCAAGAGTATATTTGGGGTTATAGGACCCAGGAGGGCCAGGAGTGGACTGTATGTTTTGTTTCTGCTCATCTGTCCTTGGCTGCCATGGATTGATCGCGCCCCCCCCCCCCCCCCTTTCTGAATCTTAGTGCACGAATACCAGCGGATACTTGGTCGCGTATTACAGCTTGAAGGTACCGGGAGAACCCCACTATGAGGGTTCATCGGGTTGCACGCTTACTATCGACGAAGCGTTCGGTCACATTGCAGCAGGTCAGTTCCAGATCATCCCCCCGCTATATCGGTTCGATACTCACCCCAGTTTTTTTGGTACCAGAATGCTTAGCATCCTTGATGATTATGCGGCATATTGCAGAGTACAACGTTTGATGATCACACTTCTACCCCCTTGTATCATAGCTTTTGAGCGTTCTTGTATCTCTAGTACTTTTTTTTTTTTGTTTACCCAGTGGACGACTTCTTGCTTTACCTGTTATGATTCGGACTTTTGTGGGAGTTTCAATATCCCTGTAGGACCAGGAATGTAAAAAGTGTACAGTTTTGTAACGATAGTGTGAATAATTTCTTCATTGCTCAGCCGTTTCCCTGGTGTTCTAAGTATAGCCGTGCTAATGAAGGGGGAAGGGGGGGGAGGCCCACTAGTGATCGAACTATTGCAACGAAGATGTTGAAGGACGCGGTGATCACGATGCCGTTGATGGTTCTCGGGCGGAGGTGACGGCACCTGGCCAGCAACGCGTCTCTGTAACTAAACTATCGACCACCACGTTGCGGTAACCAACGACGAAACGAAACATTGAGAATGAACTGCCTCTTCGGATGGATCTTGGTTAGCAGGCGGCAGCCAAAACGAAGACCGGTCCCCCGTAAAGAAGTTTCATTCGCGAGCTACAACATATGTAAAGAACTAAACCCAAGATACCTAGATTACCATGGCAAACGACATGTATACCCGACTTGACGATGGTCTTGGCGGGCATCTTTGGAACCCGTTCGTCGTGATAAGAGCAAGAAGACCTTTGGTTCCTACTTGCTTCGTCACGGGCACCGCGAAAGGAAACCAGGTCCGCGAGCGAAAGTTGTGCCAAGACAAGGTTACGGAAATGGGAGAAGCTCGGGATCCCCCGAGCTTCACTAGCAATTGTACAAACAAGATGGCGCATAGGCGCTTGAACAATGTCTCGACCGAGTGGCCTTTGCCTAGTCGCATCAATAGGAGGAGTAAAGGTGGACCAACAACGGCTACCAAGATTGGAAGCAGATAGAACCTGCTGCGCAAGTGAGTCAAGAATAAACGTGTCTTGTAAATGACTCACGAACCTCCTCAATCATCTTTTGGGCGTTGCAATAGCGGACCAAAAACGGGATGATTGCATTCGAACCTCGTATCTGGGTCGCGCATTTCTTGTGGAATTAATAGAGCTGATACTCGATGACTGAAAGCAACGACCAACATAAATAGTGACTCCGGCATCTAATTGACATCACTGTAGCCAAGATCCGGAATGAAAACGTGCAAAAAGCGGTGATCGGGTCCGGCGAGGTAAGAATCAGGGACCTTCATATTTGTCCTAATCGGCTGAAGGGATTCACGATGACGACAAGTACGGAACGTGGAAGCAGGGGAAATGATGTTCGAATGTTCGCGGCAACGAAATCCTTCCCAAATTCTGGCAGTGGTAAAGACCGCAACTCCGTGATCAAAGGCCTAATGTAAATTGCCTCATGGTCGCTGCACTTTACTGCAGCCTCTGCACCCGATATCCATCTCCCGAGAACCAAGTAATTGCCACGAATTGAGTACAATTATAGGCGCGAACATGGGGTCGGCCCTGCGACGCAGGTAATCCAATAGAGCTGTAGTTTTACCCCACACAATATCGCGGCTGTTCTAGACAATGATCGCAGCCCAGCTCAATTAGCTGGGGGATACAACCAAACCTGCTATCGCTCCCGCTTTCAGTACCACGCCATGATGCTCGTGTATGAAACTGGCCAACCGAATGCATGACCGAGGAGCAACAAGGAACACGGTTCGTAGGTCATCGGCCCAGGCGCCCGTAGCATTGTTGCCGGACTGTTAACAAGCACTTGATAGGCCTGCCTCTGCAGGCTCGACCGACTCGTCGCCGAAAGCATCTGGATACGCCAGAAACTTGAGGTCGGTCACAATAGACCTCCGAAGTCGGTCCAATGGTTTCCCTCGTAAAACAAAACAACCCTCTCTGCAGGTCTCGAGAAGCCGTAGCAACGAGGGTATGTACTTATTTAGTAGGGTAAAGTTTGATAGCCGTTTGCCCTGGCTTCAATACCCCCACCGCAGGCGATTCAAATCGCCCGGTTTCTTGATACGAGAAAAGAAGATTGCCAATACGTTCAACTTTGAATCCCGCCCGCTTAACGTTGCCAGATGTGAAGATGTACGGAGTGTTCCGAACGACCGATCCGTCCGGAGTGAGATCGTTCTGCTATCTCGGACGCCGGGCCTATGGGGCCTGAAGGCTCAACGAGGCGCGCAAGGAGGCAGTGAATGGCCACAGCCATATCACTTTTCTAACACATCCATTGGTCAATCCAGAACAACATTACCACGCTAGAAGCGAGCGAACAAGGAGCTGCCAACTTTGATCGCGTGTTTCTGGTATTCATACCCGACATAGATCGACTAGACATATCATGCTGAACGATGAACCGCCCCATACTATTGGGATCATGCTGGACACTGAATCTATGAATCGAGGCGTGGTACCGCATAATTGTTGGTGGATTCACAGTACGCGGTCTTCGGTGAGGTTGAGTGTCGCGAGATTGCCGTCGCTTCTGATTATCAACCTCTGTTCCATATTCTCTCCGCACCATAGGCGAGAAAGATGTGTATCGCGGTGCTGATATGGATCGTTGAAGGGTATGGATAACATTCCGGAGGCTGTAGTCCTTCGTGCATGTCGCTATGGTCTTTCGTAAGCCGCGATTCTCAGGATGATGGTCGAGAGCGAAACAGTGACCGTGATCACCCAGAAAACAAACCGCAGTGCTTCCCTTAACATATCTTCAATACAGCCCGAATCTCAACACAGCTCGATTTCGGGAAATCTCCATCTCCGTCCAGGAGGCGTGCCATCCCACCCTCAACGATCGACTTGAGCATGGAAAAGTCCGATATTTCACCGCTGCGCTTAAGCGAGCTCTCGTTGTCTCTTCTTCCTTCATCACGGCAAACTCATCTCAAACAGCTGCTGACTTCACAACCTAATGCCGATCAAATGCTATAACAGCTTCTAGATGGACCGCATCCTACGCATCGAATGGAGTTGCAACCTTACTTCTTTGATACTGCTGTACTTGGCGTGAGATCCGTAGACTTGAAAAATGGGCTATATTGGAGAACTGATATCGGAGGTCTGGCGATATTGGAGACTAGGAGGTACATAAACAAAAAGTCTACACAAAGACCGTCAAACGACACGAAGGAACAAGAAAGGCGTTCTTACTTGAAAGTTTCAAGATTTCTGGGCGTGGTATTTAGATATTTGTGGTAAGAACTGGTGCAATGACTGAGGCAATGAGTTCAAATGATAGTCAAGCCTGCTAAAATGTCTATGGGTATCATCGAAACCTGAAAAGAAGTAAAAGGGATCACCATACCGAAGTCCACCATCATGGAGGGCGGTGCGATTTCTGAAGGTGATTAGAATGTCAAAGAATAGACTCCAAAGGACAGATGTAAGACACGCTGCGTGGTATCTGAGTTGTAATGTTAATATTGTGTCCGAAAACCCCAGTATGTCGCGCACCTGTACATATAATGATACAGTCCTGATAGTCATTGCGACATCCATATCCACGGATTCCATCAGCAGTCCCTTGTCTTCAGAGTACTAAAGCAATGCCACCAGCGTGGATAGGACACTACATCTGAGAAAAAAAAATAAGATTCGTGATAATAGATGCGAGCGAGCGAAAATTTACGAACAGGAAAATGCGGCCTTGGGTTTTCAAGTAACCCAGCACCGTAGTCGCTCGCCACCGCGATTGCGATGTCAAAACGAGTCGATGCACCGGCACAATGCCGCCGAGGTTAACAGATCATGGCAGATGATATGTAGGTTGTGGGCCTTGGTCCGCGGCTGAAAAGTAAGTGTTTATGGTATTTCAGATATGAGCATTTTACAGCTTGCTTTGCGAATTCCTGATCCTTCACAATTCTGAGGGACATAATCCAAGTGTAAGCTTTCTGTAGTCTCTGTCGCGGCTGTATTGCAAGGGTCTTGAGGAAGCCATTGCATCCAAACGAGACGATGGTGGCAGCAAAGCAAGAGTCCCCGGCATTGACCGAATAGTGACGAAAGAAGAAAGCGACCTGTCGCCGTCACGTGATTAAGCTTTCACCTTTGAAGACCGCCATACACTGCGGGGTGGCGGTGGATTTGCACAGGCCAAAATGGAGCGTCTGGGATTTTGATTTCATTTTGACTGGAGCAAATTAGTTCACCACCTCGCAGTCTGAACCATTTGCTAAGCTCTGACCGGGCTTTCTAACGCCTCTCATGATTCATGGCCCCATTTGCGCCCCACATCGACCGGTCACCGGCGAAAGTACTCAACACGATAAGGAAGCCTTCATAAACTAGGTTTCTCCTTTAATGCAGCCATTGCTAATTGGTACATGACGTGGGACCTTGCACCGGTAGTGAGGTCATTGAAAATGGCATGGAAATGGGGTGTTTAGGATTTTGCGTCTCTGAAATACTTAATTCACGCTACGATAGGTTTACAAGAAGTTTTAAGTAGGCGTATTCCTTCCGGAACCTCGGAGGAGATCCATAGGCTTTACCAAGGGCTCAGAATTCAGATCCCAATTATCTACCATGCTGAGATGCTGGTGTTTCAAATCTCCATATCATCCATTTCACATTAATGCATGTGGAAAGAGGGGAATATGTGATTTCTCTGCCTCCTTCCTTGAGCCGTTTCATATACATTTCTGACGTTACGAACAGAGTTGCCCGTCTACAGCACGGACGATCCCCTTTATGCCGCCTTATGCGCTGTATTTCCGCTATAATTACCGCGGTCCAAACCCTGCAATCCAGTAGGGCAAGTCTCATTATGACAACAATCATCTGTCAGGGAATTACAGCCCAGATCCTACTGACACCTAAAACCTCTTACAGAGGCTTGATTCCCGGGACCATAGTACCCTTTTTATAAAACCCCTCGCATTCTCTAGTCTTTTCAATTACTGCGAATTCATCGTAGCCCTGAAGAGCATGATGAAACCTTCAGGTTTCCCCACTTGACTACAGGAGTTTTTGGTATTCAAGCCACAACGAAGACGGACCTTTCAGTTAGCCACTGGGTTCTTCTAACAAGGTAGCTCTATAGGAGTCCATGCGCATCTTGCTTGGTGGCCTGGGTTCACCTTCAGTCGCCTTCTGTTTCTCACTTGATCTGATTTGACCTAGGTATATCTCTGAACCTGGCACAGTTGAAATTATTTAGATGATGTCCGTCGATCGGCGATGGTAATTCCACCCACCTACCCACCTACATATCTTTGCAAGTTCTTTCTTAGTGCTGAACAAGCAAGCGTTGCTGCGATTAAAAGCAACAGAGCTTTTACTCCATTATACCCCAAAGACCGCTTGACTGGAGTTCGAACGAAGGCTTGGATCGAGCTGGAAAGGAAAAAGGAGATGCAGTAAGTAATATATACAGAAATATAATTATTCCCAAACCAAATAAAGTGGTACATTTAAATCGAAGCAGACTTCCTTCCCCCGGCGTAACGACCTCGTTTCTACATGTACATATGAACAGTTTCTGATATAGACGTTGTCCGGCATTGAATGATACATCGGTAAACAGATACAATCCGAGGTTTCCAGCGTGTATAACACGAGCCTGATCCTATATCAGACAGAATCAGCATCCTTCTTCTACGATGATTAAAGATGACATACCTCATACGACGCGTAATGCTCCCCTAGCCCTAAGCAGTGGGAACATAGCATCCGCTCGAGATCTCAAAAAAGCCTGTGCCGCTCTCCGATAATCCGCGAACTCGCTATCAGAGAGGAGAGTAACGTGACGAAGGCCGTGCATGTGAGGACGCATCAACATCGCATCGAGAGCGTTCCATGCGGCCAACTGCTGATCTAAATCCCGACGCTCGGTTCCCCACTGCGCGAATGACAGGGTCACCGCCTCTATGGTGTTCTGCCCTGCATTCTCGAAGATCCGGATACACCACTGTACCAAGTTGCACAACACCCTTGCCTGGTCTTGGAAAGCATCCTCCAAGGTGATCTGAAAGTGGCGCAGGCGACTTATAGCGAGAGGCACAAAACTGGGTGCGGTCATGAAGGCTACAATCAAGAAAATTTGACCAAGGATGAAAAAATCTGAGGAACAGAAGAACGTACCATAAAGATCCTCGATTCGCAGTTCGAAAGTATCCAGCGAACTGAAGGCAGCCGCATTGAGTACGTTGTTGCACGTTGCAAACTCCTCCACTGCTAAACCATAATAACAGAATCTTCGGAGACCAGAGATATCCATACACGATCTAGGATTATTCGCCCAAAATGCGAAATCCTCCATTTCGTCGGCGGTGAGGTTTACGTCGAACGTACCAATGGTGCATCTGGGGCGTCGAATTGCGGGACCGTTCCGACGACGAGACGACCTTGTGTGCGGATCAAGAGTGACGTGATACAGTCTAACGTGGCCGGCACGACAGCCTGTCAACATTCCGAAAAGCGCGTCCCAGTCAGGCAACTTGGAAAGTCCACGTAAGACAATCCCTTCGACGTGCGGCTGCTGGAAGAGTCGACGAAGGGGGTCTTGTAAGGTGGAGACGTCGCGCCACGAAGTTTCCAATGAATTGAACCTAACCTCGACTTTTATCAGGTTGACGAGCTGGGGAAGTATTGCGGATAAACTCGGCTTTGAGCTGGTCATCCATTTCCCGCTACCCCTTCCATCAGCCAGCTCGACACTTCGAACGTAGAGCGCGAGAGAAGGGGAGTATTGTAGGATGCGACAAAATTTACCGCAATTCGGTATATCCGATTCTAGTGGGCAGCCGAGTTCGACGTGGAAAAAGAGACGGCTTTGAGCGGGAACGCGCCATGCACGACAGACCAGGGCGCAAGCTCTCAACGCCCTATGGTCCCGGGATAGTCTGCCGATGATGTGAAAATCGATGACCTCTTGAGGAATATTGGGTTGCTGGCTCATCCCCAGTCGTGGAATAGCTCAGTTCTTGGACTACGATCGAACGCCTGAAATATGTGAACACCAAGATTTTAGCAAGTAGGTTAGCGGTACGTATACTTTCGAAACGCACCTCAAATTGAGACTAACCGCAAAAAACAGGTCTACAGCTCCTCTGTGCCTAGAACAATGCATGCCTTGTCTCCCAAGAACGGTGCTATGACATGGAACGAGGGGACATACCGACGTGAGCGGTATTCTTCGCTTCTGTGTTATTTGGAAGACCTGAAGCAGCTGTCAGTGATGAAGAGCAGATATTTGTGGTTGTTTTCCTCTCCTGCTTCCGTATTTCAATCTTTTTTCGCAATCTTCCTGGCAGGATTACCATTCGAAGCCATCACTTATCTGCGGACAGTGTTCAACAAGGAACCACCTGATGGTCCACTGTGACCTCGGTATCGGGCCATTCCTACCAAGTCAGAGATCCCCAAATGCATATTGGGGGAATAATAATGCTAACGGTTTGATGAAATGTAGTTCTCGATGGGGATGCCGTCACTTGCAGGCTTCTGCTGCTTCCCAATTGCCAAGTAGAACACTATACAGTGTCTGTGGGACATATCGGCCCGAGGGTCTAACGCCAACGATCAGTCTCGAATGTCCAGGTCGTGGGGCAAATCATATTGGCATCGAGGTCGGCCTCTGTTCTACTGCTCGGCCTTCAATTCTAAGGGAAGGGATCACCCGTTGAATGGGCCGCCGCTGGCGCATCACTCTCTTCTCGGAACTTTGCTCCGGCATATGGGTAATAACACGGTCACCACTCTCTTTTTATCCTTTGATTATTCAGATATTGGTATTCGTAGTCAGAGATACGGCTGAATCTGAATTCATCGACTTGAGGCCATTCTGTGTACCTCTGTTACTAGTACAATGGTTCTCGTATCAATTCCCGTCAATTCGCATCAGTCCGACCCTATAAACTTGCGCTTCCAGTCAGGAGAATATACGAACCTGAGTGTGTTTAAGTGATAGCTTTGCATGTACACATAACAGCGCCCGGGTCCGAGAAATTCCACGAGTCACATTCCGCCCTATCGAGTCCGGTCTCGGAGGCAACAGCAATATTATTACCAATATCCTTGACATGAAGCCAGCACCTTCCCGCACCCGTTCTGCATTATGACATCGAATGACTCACCTTGCACGATAATTTGGATACCCAGCAACCCACTCACCAAATGTCCCAAAAAGTACTCATCAGCAAAGGTCGAATCGGGGGGGATCTGGACAGCTTTTCATTATTGTCTTGGTTCGTAGGAACTCGAATGTTCGTTCGCGACCTGAAACTGCAGGCTGTGAGTCCGACGCGGACGCACTAAGAACAGGAAATTAATCAACAAGATCAGGAATTCGAGGATGAAATCACCAAGCCAAGTCAGGAGCCCGTCATCGCGGCGTTCACTGGACCAGACACAGTGGTCTTGGAACACCGTTGCCGAGCGTTGAAGTACACAGCATCTTGTGCATAGTCGTGCGCACTGCCATACGTGCGATATGCAGCCCGGTCGGTTGCTGTATGATCAGATGTTCACCTCTTTTTGAATAAATATCATTATACTCATTTCCTGTTGTATCTTTGTCCCATGGGGGGGAACTTTCCCTTCGATAGTCCGATGTTAATCTACCAAATGACAGGACATGATAATAGCACCGAGAAATGAGGCCAGTGGTTATCATCGACCCTTCCTCCTTAGGCACGAACTTCGCAGGGAATCCATGGCAAAGCGGTCTCTATACTCTGGCGTCAGAATACGAGAACTGCATGGATGCGGAAATGAGAACTCACCACTACCAGATAATATCAGCCACGACTTCCTGGGATATTTGTTTAGGGTACGCATGCTTCTGTAGAAACGCCTTTACTGGGAAATGCAAAGGACCATCTTCCGGAATGTTGCCAGGCAATATATATATCTTACGCGTGACGTTTTCTGCTCCCAGCAAACGGCGTAAAGAGTTCGGCACCGATGACTAGTGCGAATATCCACCCTGAAGAAATTACGGATGAGTATGGAAGAGCAGAAGGGACATTGAAGGTTACGTCTCCTGACCGAAATCTCCCGCTACCAGTCAGCATGGGCAAATACAATGTCCGGCCGTGGACGAGTTTCATACGCGATATCTGATACGATGAACGCACTTTCCAAGTCGGTTTTGGCGTCCCTAAACTGCCACGCTTTATCGCGGTCCTCGAGCTCGCGTCACCATTGGCCTTGGCCATGTATACTTTCGGTCCGACATCTAAATGTTAAAAGAAGCCGCTAGGTTGTATTGCTGGTCGCCAATGCATGTCATATCTGTCGATATCCAAGGAAGTCGAAATGGATATGTAGTCGACGACTGCGGAATATTTGCTATAGGTAATTGTACTTGCAGCCTGTTCTCCATGCTCGACTTGGGGTATATACTCCTCGTTTGAAGGGCAAGCGTATCCTAGCCTTACCAATGCCTCAGTTTCTTCCCTTGAGTCTATAGCCGACAGGAAAAGAGCATTAGGTCATTAGTGCCCGGAACATGCATAATCTAGACACCAAATATCAGTAGCACATTGTCTTCTCCGTGCGGGGGTCAGCACCAATAGTTGTATACCTGATGGGATGCTCCATAGCAACGCTGACATCGGTTTGCCCCGGATCCTCTCATCTGACATTTGAACAGAAAAAAGTAACACTCAACGATGAACATGAGGCATCGGCCGGCAACCCCGAGGTCAGAACGTAGATATTTTCGCGGCACCGTGTACTTTCAGGTGATAAATTACGCCGGAGGCCCCGGGGGGGTTGAAAATTAAGGAAGGAGGAAGAACGGTCCAAAACTACAGATGATATCACTTAATTAGGGAAAAAGAGCTTGGTGAAACAAAGGAACGTCCCAATATGTATAAGCAAAGCATCAAATTTTTCGCCACGAGGATGGACTAAACTCGATGTAGGGCTTGAACGGACGAAAACCGGCTGGCGCACATGTACACGTTTCACCAAGAGGCAAGATGGTTGCCAGCCGTACCTAGTGAATGAAAATGTCACTCCTAATTAACGGCATCGCATACTGTAATAGAAAGGCACGTACAGCGCAGGGTGTCACAGTTTACAGCGTCGGGAGCATCTGCTGACCAGGAGGCCGCAACCTTCGGTAGCGTCAATATCGTAGCAGAACGGGACCGGAAAAATGATGGTTTAGATGCCTGGCTCTTATGCTCGGAACGTCGACGTTCGTGGAATCGGGCATATCCTCCAGCCGGCTAACGGTACTCCTCTTCGTGAAGAACGTCCCTGGTAACACGCTCATCAGCCTAGAACGATGCTGCGAGACGGCTAAGCATACCTTAGGAAGTGTTTCGGAGGTCATTGTTCATAGATCTTGAGAAGTATAAGTTGGCACGGCGACGTGAGAATGCAAAGAACGGGTGCACTGTGACTCATCTTGATTTCGGTAGGATAGCTGGCAAACTGTGGACTAAACAAAGATCAGCCTGGTTTGTGCATTCGCGCGCCAACATTCCACGAAACAAGGTTGTTGCAGAAGTAAAGGAAGACCGAAAACGTGTGCCATCATCTTCGTATAATGAGAGCAATATATTATCACGGCTAAAAGGACACAAAACGATGGTTAGTCAAAGTGGATGCCGGGGGTCGGATCGTAGTGTCGGCGCAGCTGATGTAGGACGAACACGGCCAGATGGGTCGGGACCCAGCGCGTAGGTCGCGCCTACGAAAGTATATTGTGTAGAAACGTCCCATGGACACTTTTCAGATAAGCTACCGAGACAACTGTGCGAAGACGTTGAGGATAAGTACCTCGTAATGGCACACTGGGGGGGTCCCGAGATGGTACGACGCAACGATTATATGATGTGGGGCACACGAGGGTTTGGATACATTGAATCCTAGCGTTCTGGTATGTTAGAGTGCCGGCCTGCTGAATAATGTGACATCTAAGGAATGAACATCAGCATCGTTCAAGTCACATCTGTTTACGTACTTATAGATAGAACTAACTCCTTAGAACTTTCGTCATGCGATTGCGTGCAACCTGTAAGTGATACAGATGCCGAGTGTTAATTACATGAACGAAGTATGGGTCCGGCAGACAAAAATAACTGACTTAGAATCCGGATATCTGTACTTGGCGTCGTACTATGAAGAGCGGGTTAGTTTTTTATCTGACGCCAGCGAGAATGCGGCAACCTGAGTACGCCAGACGTGCTGGCATTCAGAATAGTCGGATGGAACTCGGATTCATGACATCAGAATCCTGAAGCGTGATTGCCGGACATCCGCAGACGAGGGAACGAAACGAGCTTCGGATTTAACATGGAGAACATTAAGCTAGAACGAAGAAATTAGCGTTCATCAATGGTTAGTCCCGTCGATGGTCAGCGTTGAAAGGATCGCGGGCCTCCCAACTATTTCTACTGGGCCATTTATAGCAGAAAGACATATCATAGTAAAATTAGCTCCGCACCGTTCGCCTGAACGCATTACCAGGAAAGTTGGGGGAAGGGGGAGTTGCTTTGCCAGCCTGGCCGGGAATAGGTTTCTCGAGAATATTGGCGGTATATCGTACCAGAAGCCTAATAATACCACGAAGTGTAAGAAATCCAATGAATAAGCCTCGAGGCTTCAATCTTATATCATAGCTTGAATATCGAACGTCGACTATTCTTGACCGCCAAGTTGACCGTTTATCCCCAGCGACTGCCACCTTCCCGTGTGGCCCCTATCGGGTTATCATTGGACTCTAGGACTTGGCAATTATAGTGTTCTTCGTGTGAGAAGCAAACCATCAATTATTCAGTAAGAAGCTTCGGAGAAATAATAAGCCGGCTGATCTGTACGTGGTCGGAGCATAATGTTATATTTCGTCTTCTTCGTAATACGTCCCCTTGGATTTATTGCAGACGACGACAATTTTTTTTCTTCAAGTTTTTGGGTGACGGGGCTCGTCCTGTGCACAGAAACTGAGGGGGGAAACTGGATTGATTTGTAGAACGTCATAGGGAAAGACAACGTTGTCTGGCAATGTCCGAGGTTGTTGGTCCATTCGGATCAGATTCTTCGGACCGGACATGATAAATGATGCACCACTGCTGACATTTTACCTCGTTTTACCTCTTCGTTCAGAGCATCTATGGGCCGTGGTTTGTCTGTACACGTATCCCCCTCTTTCACAGTAACTTCGTCGTGAACCCATTCTGATTTATTCGGCCTCCTCGGTGCCTCAGCCTTTTTCCTTGATATTCTTGGCGCGGGCTTCTTCAGTGGAATTCCGGAGAGGTTCTAGGGGAATTATGGACCGCCATCAAGGTGAATTTATTATCAAGCTGGACTGTGAGGAATTCATCGTCTGGCGTCGTCCGTTCTCCCCGCATATTCCAATTTTCATGTTTGCTGATTCTCAGCGATTTGACTCTGAACTCCGACTCCGAGAGATGTCATTTAACGTCCATCACCATTCAGCCCTAGAATGGCTGAATAACGATATGCTTGTTTTCCCACTCAAAGCGAAGATTATCATTTATTATTATTCATTTTCCTGCTTCATGAAGAGATGGTTTGTAGTCAGGTTCGTGAGTACATTCTAAGCGAAAACGGCTGGTCTAGGCTAGTAATGCTTATTGTTTAATGATAGACAAGGCAAGTATCTCACTGTGAGCTCTCTTGCCTTGTTTATGTTACGACGAACTCGTGGGAGAACGTCCTAGGCCTTAGGCTGTTTTATCAGCATTAGCCTTGCGGCCAAAATGGTAAGACTCTATTGCATTTGATCTGTGCGTACTACCGTATCGTAAAAGTCGCTCGCTTACCATGTCATCAGATCCAATTTAATATGTACATCGTCTGTTCCACAGTCCATCGTTACGCGAACAAGTTTTCTGGTACACGCTGTCAAAACAGCATAGACTGCCGTGGGATATTACAGCGTCGTCCATCAACGCCCATTCAACTTTGCGGAAATTTGGGCTGGCAGCGAGGGGGTAGGCGTTACGAGAAACTATGACAGGATCGAGGTAAATATAACGCTGAATTACGACATAAGGCACCCGTTGCTAATTGTAGTGGGGAAATTTCTTCATGTTCAGCGATTTAATCGGATCCATACACAGGCAGCTCCCGCTCGAATTGATGAAGAGCTGAATTCCAACCCCATCTAAGCACTGCCTTCGGAAACTTCCCGAAATCCGTAGACGGTTTTAGAACAGCGTATAGTGTTTTCTTCCCCACTGTAGCCTCGTGAGTCGTTTCCGTAGGTGAATAATCGGCGAAGAAAGAGGTAAGAGCACAAAAATCAACATGGTACCACTAGGTCGCCGTCTACCAAGATGCCCGGAGTGGCCAAAAGAACCTTCTGATATCATACTTGCATCAGAACTCCAATCATAGCGCCATGTCAGGCGCTCAGTGTCCAAAAATGATCTTATATTCACTGGGGGAAAATAGAGGCTTGTTAGCCAGAAAGCCGGGTAGGAAGCACAGAGAGAAAGGGAAGTATTAGGAATTCTCAAGGGAGGACCGAAAGTATACGAAAATAGGCGACCATGAGGGTAATTAGCTAAGTCCTTTCGGGGTAAACGCTCGTGGTGACCGCAGTCGTGGGAATATCTCCCGGTCCCAAAACTCCCGGTTCCCTTCTTGGTAGCGAACCACCACCGCGTCCCCTGCATACAGCGAGCTCGCCGTTATCCACAGCGAGCACAACACTCAAAACAGCCCGGAACAACTCCATTAAAACCAACCCCGTGCAAAAAGGGGCCCCAAAGGGTTCCGGTCCAACCGAAGCCCCCCCCTCCAACAACCGCCAAGGGCCGAATTTCCCAAAGAACAACCCCCGCCGAACCCGCCTTAACGTCCCCAAAAAACCCCTCAAACAAGGGTTCCCGGCCCCGACAACCAAGTCAACCAACCAAAAAACCGCCGCAACCGAAGGCCCCAACCCCAAGGGGTCTCTAAAAACACACAGAACAGAGAACAGCGTTCCCATATCTTTTTTTTTCATATCACATCTGTATCAGTCTCAACAAAATACCAGATACCATCCTCTCGAGCAGTGATCCCATCTTTCATCTGTCATATCTTGGTGAGGAACACATTCCTTTCAGATCTGTCCTTTCTCTTACCTTGATGTTGTAGCATCTACCATGTCTTCCTTTGGGTTTGTATTGCGTGGCGCTGTGCAGCGGAGAAGACAACACAAGCCATCGGCTTTCCAACCAATCGAATGCCTTGTAACTCGTACGACGACACGCCCCGAACTTCCGCCGGAGGTCTGGATGCTTGTCATCCGATTTGCGACCTGTTCTTACCCTGACCCCCTCGACACTTCGCGGCCCGTTTCGTTTCTGGATCCACCCCATGTCACTCAGTTGCGACTAGCGTCGTATTATGCGACGATGGATCAAAAGCTATCTCTATGCAGGGTCAGCAGGCAATGGAGGGAGTGGGCGACTGAGTTCTTGTACGAGTTCGTTTGGGTCAATCGTGCTGGACATGCTCGACTCCTCGCTCGTACCTTGGAAACACCGGAAGGCAAGGGTCACGGTCGCTGGATTAGGAGGCTCCACATCGAGACCATGACGTTGGACAAGTGCAACCCTTCGCATCTCCGTATTATCCTCGACGCCTCGCCTGATCTTGCCATCTACTCGGACCATCGATCCATTCGCCTCACCGTCTTTTCCGTCAACTCTCCTCTCGAGGAGACATGCACGCCTGATGACCTCTTCCAGTCGCTACCGACCAACCTCCGTCGTCTGTCATGGACGTCGTACGAAGCGTCTCCGACTCCTACCATACCTCTCTTTTCTGTTCTACACAATCTCACTTTCCTTGAATTGCACTTCTATGCACCCATGCGCTCGTCATTTGCTATCTCCTCACCACCACCTGTAACTCCCACGCAGACATTCTATCTTCCTCAGCTGCAGACCCTCAAAACGTCGCTTTGCTCGAATACTTTTGAGCTTCTCTCCACCTGGATCCTTCCGGCGCTGTGCAACCTATCGCTTATCTCACCTGACTTCAGCTACTCTTCCCCCGGCTTCCTTGCGTTCTTCTCCGCTCATGGGGCGAAGATAAACCAGCTGGAACTCGGTCATTCGTCATCCAATATCCTTGAAGAGCACTACATTACCCCCACGCAACCAGTCTCGGTGCGGCCGATCCTTGCGTCGCTTCTCCCGAACATGACCGAGTTCATCTGTTCTGCAGATGCTGAGTGGAACTGGGAGAGCCCAGACTGGATTGCGCCACATGTACTCCTTCCGTCTCATCCGCGGCTGCAGCTTATCGGAGTCCGTGACATCGGGCGAGGGAATTGGCTGCTGATTGAGCAGATGCGGAGCCTACTGAGGCGCGATGCGTTCCCTTCCTTGCGGTATGTCAGGGACATGGGTCCCGGGTTGCTCAAGGTTCGGAGCGGCCTCGAGCCTGACATTGACCTGATGTTGTTTTGGAGAGCTGTCTGGGATAGCTGTGGAGGTCGAGGTGTGTGGTTGGAGGATCTTGAAGGTATCAATTTCGTTGCGAGGGATTGGAAGAGACTGGGTTTTAATGTCCCATCGCCTTCAGATGCTGTCTAGTATGCTTCTTTGTTATTGCTGTCGTTGTCATTGTTTTCTTGTATCCACCCTATCTATTTGTTGGACGTTCTTTCGTATACAGGTTTCTTTCTTTTCCCCTTTCTGGGCACCCACTGTATACTGACAGAATACGTATATGCATTTTTTGCTTTCTCTCTTATGTTTGGATTGGTCATGGGGGTGGCGGTTCACTGCGTGCCGTCCCGCAGGACCACGTAAAAGGCAGCTCTGGTCAACGAAGAATTAGAGTGAATATATTACAGGCTCGGCGCTGCCTCATCCCTGTCGTTTTGTTCGAGATAGATGAATTCATGGTTACTTTGGGACAGACTCTTCCAGTTGTAGGTACGTCTGTTGGCTTCCTTGGTACACCATCGACTTTTCCGTACCTTGGGCTTGGGCTTCTTCTCTTCGCATGCTAGATCTAAATCAAGTGTCTTTTTTTTTTCTGGGAATGCAAATTCGCAGATACGGTTTATGCGACCTGATTGTGGCTCAGGGCGACCCTCCATAAACCCTAAACGCTGCTTTTCATTGGAGGGGGGTATGTATTTTGATCATCGAGATGTCGTGGGCCTCGAATAAGAAGGGCGGGGGCGGTGGTTCTTCTTGATGTGACAAGCGACCGCTTGACTCAGATTAGGATACTTACAAGCCTGCGACTGAAGCATTCGTTTAGTGGAAATGACTCAGACAAAGAGCAAGGCAGATCAAGGTCTGGCACCCACCACGAGCACCCACTCAATATTCTCGGTGTGTTGGTTTGGCCTAGAGATGATGTGTATGGATGGACGGGTCGAACTCGAGGATCTTGGGACTGGTATCAGATCGCCTAGCGTGCTATTTATTTTAGTGGTAGTAAATTTACAAATGCCCTAACTCGTCTACGATCCAATATGAAATTTTGTCTCCCCCGATAAAAACTGGGTGTGGCGCCCTGAATCTGCGCTGCTAATGCCCACGTGCTGTAATGGCCCTTTGGAGAATGATGCACAAAATCTGGAAAAGCATCTCTCGATTTCTCCGGCTCGGGGTTTTCTCTAGACTAAGACCGATGGCCAAGCTTCCTCACAGCATACAGCCATGGGGATCACCGATCTAAGGTGGAAGAAGTTGTCCGTGCCATAGATAAAGGAAGAGTTGGAGGGGGGCAGAGGAAGGATCCAATGCAGCTCGGACTCATGTGAGTCTGAGTAACTGGAAGTATAAATCATTTGCAACCTCCAACAAACTCAAACATTTCAGCAGCATTTTCAGTTGATCTCACCCAGAAGTGCCAAAGGATTCATCTGAATCAACTCCCTTCCAAGTTGAAACATTGAGCATGTGATTGTCCTGAAAGGGTACTTATATCAGCCTTCGGTCTCACCGTGACTCGCCTCCAAACCACCATCTCCTCGTCGTCTCTGGCACAACGACGCAACGCCTGTATAAGAAATATCATCTTTTCTGCTGCAGTAGGTTTCTATAATCCTACCAGTGTCTTGTCTTTCGCTTTCAACCGTGTACTTGATAAACTCGTGTAAAATATGGACTACGCCCAAGTATTCGCCCAAGCATTTGCCCTCGCACAGTTTCAAGCACCACCACCGCCGACATTCTTGCCTGACCTCGCTGTTCGCCTCATCTGTCCCGAATGCAAAGACCCCCACCCTCAGATCGCTGAAGAGTTTAGCTCCGGCGACCTCGTTTGTCGTACTTGTGGATTGGTACTGGGCGACCGTATTGTAGATACCCGGAGTGAATGGCGTGTATGTTCCGGTTCTGAGTATTTTCTCATTCTACAAATTGAAAATTTTTGATCTAATAGACGTTTGCCAATGACGAAAGAGATGATGATCCATCTCGTGTCGGTGCGGCTAGCGATCCGTTGATGGAGGGCATGGAACAGCTGGACACGGCGATCAGTTTCAGGGATGGCAGGAACGGACTCTCTCGAGAACTTCGGCGCGCCCAGTCCCGAGGACAAGGCTCGCGGCAAGAGCAAAATCTTATGGTGGCATTCCGCGACATCTCTAGCTGGTGTGACCAGATCTCTCTTCCGAAAGTCGTAAGCGATACTGCCAAGCAAATTTTCAAGCACGCTGAGCAAGGACAAATTCTCCGGGGCAAACCTACGGATGCTATCATCGCAGCTTGTATCTTCATTGCATGCAGACAGGCGCATGTGCCGCGAACGTTCCGAGAGATGTGTGATCTCACGCGTGTCTCGAAGAAAGTTCTCGGGCAGTGTTATAAATCTCTTGAACACTCTTTCAATCTCACAGTTGGAGCCTCGGCAACACACCCATCATTAGCACCGTCCATTGGCCCAGAGTCCCTCGTCGGGCGTTATTGCAACCACCTGGATCTTCCTCCAAATTTCCAGGTCATATGCTCCGATATTATCATGGCCGCGCGTGAGTTGGGCATTGGTCATGGAAGGAGTCCTGTTTCTATTGCAGGCGGAGCTATATACTTCACTTGTCTTTTGCTTGGGAAGCCAAAGTCCACGAGAGACATCGGTGCCGTTGCCGGTGTTAGTGAAGGGACAATTAAGCTCGTCTATCGCTCATATCTTGTGGAGAAGGACAAACTAGTGAAACAGAAGTGGATTGACGACGGGAAGGCCAACCCGGATAACCTGAAAGGCGCTGTATAGACCGTTCATTTTTTTCATTTCCTTCGTTTATGGATAAGTCGCTCTGCGATGTATCTATGTACTCATTTTGCATAACTCACGTAAAATATTAATATTTATTGGACATATCTTAGCGAGCCGACACGAATAAGTATTTTCAGGTAGTAGGTGTAGGACAAATATAAAAAGTCATCAGATCATCTTCTTTTTGCACCCTATTTGCGCTTCGTGCTCCCGCCCGACGACTCTCTACCGAGAGCAATACCTCCTCTGCCTTTGCTTGCGAATCTTACAGCCTTCCGAATATTGACGACACCGTCTCCAGATGGCGGAGCTGCTGTCGTCTTTTTGGCGTCGCTTTTCATTTTGGATTAGCAGTGCCAGGGATGCGTTCTTTTCATGTTCAACAGGTTGCTCATTGGCATCGAACTAAAGCCTTTGTATCAGATAGATGGTGGCAAGCACTAAACAATTTTTGACCTTCCGTTTCACACCACGGATTTTCTTTTCGCCCTCGAGTTTTTTGTCGGAGCGACCCGTACCTGCGGTGCTTATCCGTGCTGAAGAAAGTGATCTGGTTATCTCCTTCTTCCGTTGCTCGCGAGGATTTGTGTCTGCTACTGAGGACGAAGGGCCCTGTGCACACCCGTTGACACGCTGCAGCCATTCTCGCCAAGGCGTATCCTTCATGATGTTCCAAGCGTGTGCTCTGCCTCGATATCTGCATTCTCCGAAACTGGAGAACGCTTAACTACTGCCAAACGACGTCCCTGCGATGGGCGATGACCTTCCTCCACAATTAGAAGCATCACCGTTTCTGATACTGGCCTTTGCTGCAGTACTGACCTCTCTTGCTTGGTTCAATTTGGGTACTACTTCTCCGCATATACTAAGAATTTTCTGGCTAGCTTCCATTCTGAGAGGGATGATTTGCCGTGCGACATGGATTTATTGCCGGCACTGGCTTGCGTCGCCGGCGCCGGCACTGCGCACTGGAAATACTAGCTCTTAAAGCGCCCATGGAAGGACTGCAGATTTCGGCAGCCCTTGATGCCTCTGACCGTACCTTAGGTCCTATCCAGCAATGTAAAGTTGATCGTGAGCTTGGCCTATTATCTAGTTGGAGATATCAGTAGATAATTAAGTGCACTCTTGTTATGCTAGAGTCCTCCTAGATCCCGAGGGATGTCCGGATCCTCTCTGGTAGCACAAACAGTAGCGGTAATATTCTACCTCCTTGGTTGGTATACCGAATACAGTTGACTATCTCACAATGCATATGGTCGGGAGACACCAAAACTGTATGCATTTATAGATTTATGCAGAACCAAAATAGCACGTGATGTGACATGTGACTTTATGTGACAACGTCGTCATTTCCCCAAAATGCTGTCAGTGGCTTTTGGGTCAGCTTTCCATGCATCTCCTTGAATAATGCCCCTCTCAACTTCCTCAGCTGTGGTACTAATCCACCCTGGTCACCTTGTGAAACACAAAATGCCTCCAGCTTTTGAATAAGCTCAAATCCTTCCCTTGTAGTTATCAAGGTCTGTTCTTCCTCACCCTCCTCTTCCTCTTCTTCCTCCTCCTCATCGTCAATGACAGTTATTTCCCCATTTTCTACTGCAATATCATGCTTGACAGCAGCAACAATCTCCTCATCTGTTGGCATCGCCTCAAGATCTTCAGTATATTCTTCTGCAATAGAGTTAACCATCTCTTCAATGGTTGGAATGGGACCAAACATGCGATTTCATTGTTTCAATTCGACAAGATGGTCCTTCAACATTATCTCTGCTGTCTGGAGCTGTTGAATGGGGGCAATTTGGGTGGGAGGTGTGTTCATTTTTGACTGTGACGAAGAAGCCAACTGATTGACTGCCTCCAGTGCTTTACCAACGTCATTCTCTGCATTCATAACGGCCATAAGAGCAGGACGCCAGTCAGCATCAGCATATTGGTTTCCAAGCAGATTCTGCAATGCCTGTTCGATCCCTGGAAGCATGTATTTGTCTGTTGAGGCAAAGTCACAAACAAGGTTCCATGCAGACTTGAGGAGTGAGGCATCTTGGAAATCATTGGATGGTGTGGTAGACTGTGACTCGGATGCATTGTCAGGCATTATACCAGTGTGTTTCCAGCAGTTTGCTATTGTTTCACTGCTGACATTTGCCCAAGCATCACGAGCGATAGTCATAGCTTCAAGGAGATCAAGCTTGAAGATCTCAGACTCTCCAAGATCATCGAGATCAAGTGCACGGATACACATGGCATTCCGATAATGTGCCTTGAAGCAGCGGATAATACCAGCATCTAGCGGCTGAACATATGGAGTCATATTGGGCTCGAAGAACTCCAGCTTTGTGTTATGGGGTGTATAAGCGATGGAATGCCCTCGAAAGTTGTCCAAGGTCAGCAGAA